AGCTGTTGTTCAGCATCTTAGCTGCAGAGGGCAGTGTCACTGGCCCTCATATGTGGGATCCGAACCGGGGCCCTCTGGCATCCCAAACCAGTTCTTAACCAATGCGCCACTTGGCCGGCCCCTGGATGCATTTTTTGAAGGTGGAGTTGACAAGCTTTACTGATGTCCTGAATGTGGGTGGTAGAGAAAGCCAGGAGTCTAGGACACTGGGATGCCCTTTGCCTATGTAATCACTAACCTCCCTCCCCACTCCCCTCCCCTCCCCAGAGAGTCTCCCTTCTCTCAACACCCTAGAAGATCTTTTTTATGCTTCATTTCACAGATGAGGAACTGGCTCAGGGAGGCTGCTGGTAGAGTTGCAGTGACCTGCTGGGATCCCTGGTAGGGAACCTGGGGCTCGAACCCACTGATCTCCCTGCCTCCACACTCTTATCTTCTCTCCTGGGCGGTAAGCTGTGGCCCTGCCACCTCTTCTTGCATGGCCCATGAGCTAAGAGTGGGTTTTGCATTTTTAAGTGGTGGAAAACTCAAAAAAAGTTTTGTGACCTGTGAAGTTATATAAAATTCAAATTTCAGTGTCCTACTAAGAAACGTTTCATTGGAGCACAGCCATGTTCATTGTTTACATTTTTATTAACGGCTTTCCTGCTGCTATGGCAGAGTTGAGTAGTTGTGACAGAAACCCTGTGACCCACGAAGCCTAAAATATTTACTATCGGGGCCCTGTATAGAGAAAATTACTGGCTTTTGCTAATGAGCAAATGATTTGAGCACCCAGTGGGGGTGTCTGATCGATAGGACTTAGCAGCTAGTTACACAGGAGCCTGGGAAAGGTCTGGGTGGGGACAGAAAGGTTTGGGGCGTGTGTGACTGTAAGAATTGGAGAGGGAGCTCAGATTCCTGAGTGGGAATCTAACATTTCTTAAGGGACATGGAAGCATTACAATACACCCCTTTTTAAAATCAGAATTTAAAACTTTTGAATAGGATATACAAATACATGGGACAGAATTCAAAAGGTACAAAAAGGCAGCTCAAAGTCTCCCGCCCGGGGATCTTCATGGGTGGAAGGACGGCATGACCAACGTTAGCAGTTTTCTGGATTCTGTCAAACTGCCCTCTTTGAGGCTGTCCTAATTGCCACCAGGGATTTGAAGATGTTCCAAAGCTGCTCCAACACAATGCTTTATCAGCCCTTTCAATCTTCCCTAATCTGGGAGATGCAGAATCCTATAGCAGTTTAGCTTTAATGTGCATTTCTCAGGTGCTCAATGAGGTTGTGAATATGTCACATACTCAGCAACCATCTTTTTTTTTTTTAAGATTTTATTGGGGAATTGGGGAAGGGGAACACTGTTGGGGAGTTGGGGAAGAGGGAAAGCCAAGTAGTTATCCTTCAATCTTAGTTGTGGAGGGCGCAGTTAGCTCAGCTCCAAGTGCAGTCGCCATCCAGCCACAGCTCGTGGCTGCTCAACTCAAGGTGCCGTGTACAATCTTAGTTGCAGGTGGGCATAGCCCACCATACCATGCAGGAGTCCAACCGGAAACCTTATTGTTAGTAGTAGTGCTCTCACCATCTGAGCCATGCTCTCATCATCTGAGCCATCTGCCACTTGTTGACAGCTCAGTGGCAGCTCAGCTTGGGTGCAGCTTACTGGCCCACGTAGGAATCAAACCGGTGACCCTGTTGCTCAGAGCTCCTGCTCTTAACCAACTGAGCCACTCGGCAGGCCCTCAACAGCCATCTTTATCTTCCCTCCCCCCACTTGTTTGTTTGTATCAGTGGTTCTCAACTAGAAAACTTTTTTTTTGACCCCCAGGGAACATTTGACAATATCTGAAGTCTTTTTTTTTTTTTTTTTAAGATTTTATTGGGGAGTTGGGGGAGGGAACAGCATTGGGGAATCGGGTAAGGGGGACAGACAAGTTGCTGTTCTTTTGTTATTCAATCTAGTTGTGGAGGACGTCACTTTACTGGCCCATGATGGTATTGTGATCATTGCGCTCTTCCTGGCTGAGGCAGATCGGTCTCCAGCGATTGGACACCCGCTCATGGAGGCTCACAGCAGCTCACGCTGGCTGCTTGCCACTCACGGTGGCTTACAGCAGCCCACTGCAGCCCCACTGCAGCCTACGCTGTCGCCAGCGACTCATGGCAGCCCAGCTCCAGGTCGAGCTGTTGTTCACCATCTTAGATGTAGAGGGTGCAGCGTCACTGGCCCATGTGGGATCCGAACCGGTGGCCCTGCTGCTCAGAGCTCACACTCCCAAGCCAACTCTTCACCAATGAGCCACTCGGCCGGCCCAAGACTATTTTTTTAATGGCTTTATTGAGGTATAATTCTCATACCATGCTATTTACCAAAGGAGACAATTTTGGTTGTCACAATTTGGGATGGGGGTAGGGGTCACTACTGACATCTAGTGGGTAGAGACCAGGGGTGCTGCTAAAATCCTACACCTATGCACAAGCCAGTCCCACCACAACAAAGAATGATCCAGTCCAATGTCAAGCGCCGAAGTTGAGAAACCCTGGTCTACAGCCTTGGCACATTTCTCTGCAGGGTTCTTTCTGACAAGGAGCTGCAAAGACAGAAAGTCTAACGAGAAAAAGGACAATCTCAACCATCTCTGGACCGTGAGTGACCCCGGGAAGGGACACTGGGTGCCTAATACTTGTCAGTCACTTCATTTAGTCACTTTAAAGAGGAGGGGACTAAAACACAGGGAGTAGTCCAGCTGCCTGAAACATAGGTCCTTCTCTCTTCTTCCTCCTACCCCCAAAGCCAGCATTTCCCTATATGCAATCAACATCATAGCAGTGGTGCTTACTATGTTCCAGACAAGTACTAAACATTGTACATTTGTTAGGTCACTTAGTCCTCATGACAGCCCTGGGAATTAGGTCTTTTTATCATCCCTATTTTACAGATGGGGGAACAGGAACAGAGGAGTTAAGCAGTTTACCCCAGGATACACAGCAATACTAATAACAACTGTAACTAAATTTTATGGAGAACTGATATGTACCAGGCCCTATTCTGCATGAGTCTGTTGAATCCTGATAACAAGCAGAGGCGGCAGTTGGTGCTATTTCTCCATACAATGGAAGAGGAAACTGTCTCTTGCTTGAGGTCACCCAGCTAAGCAGCCTGGTAGCTTAATCTCCTGGTCTCAGTGTTCTGGGAGCTGAGGATAGTGGGGGGAGAAAGCCAGATCTTGTGGGGAGGCAGCCATCTTGCAGGGAAGAAAGACCATAAGCAGAACAATAAATATACAATATCATATCTAAGAGGGTCTGTGTGTGCAGAGAGTGATGAAACTGACCAGGGAGATGGAAAGGGATGAGGGGCAGATCTTTAAGACAAGCGCCATCAGGGAAGGGGAGAAGGAGATAGAGGCAGAGGGAACCACAGCTCCCGGGCCTGAGAGGGACTGTGCAGGCATGCTCGAAGACCAGCAAGGAGGCCATCGTGTCTGGGATGTGCCACCAAGCGGGGGTGCTGGCAGGATCTGGAGCATGGGGGCTTTGAGAACTGTAGTGAGGACTTTGGCTTTGACTTAGGCCACCTGAAGGCTCTGAGCAGAGGAGGGATGTGATCTGACTCATTTCCCTCTGCCTAAGTGTGGGGACAAGGGGAGGGGTGTGAAAGTGGAAGGGAAGGGGTGGGGGCAGTGAGGAGTTGACTTTAATAGTCCAGGCAGGAAGTGATGGTGGCTGGACCAAGATGTTAGCAGTTGAGAGAGTGAGAAGTGTTAGGTTGTGAAAATATATACATATTCCCCGACCCCAGCCTTTGTTTATCTTTTATGACCTATGATAGTTTTGAGGAATCCAGGCTAATTTTTTTGTAGGATGTCTCTCAATTTGATTAGATTGATTAGACAACGATTGTCCTCAGGATTAGATTCAAGTAATCCATTCTGTGCAGGAACCACACACTGTGTCCTGTCTTTCTCAGTAAATCACATCAGGAGGCACAGGTGTCTGTTTGTCCCATTACTGCACATGTTGGCTTTGATGCCTAGTGAAGGTGCCCGCCAGGTGTTCAGATCATTCCAGATTTGGCCAGTGGGTGACCTTTCAAGCTGGCTTCGGTGTGATGGGGAATTTGTTGGGGAAATAGCATTTCCTGATGGATTGGATGGGCTGTGTGTGAGATGAGAGGAAGTGGGTGTTGGTTCTTTCAACACATATTTATTGCCAGGAACTAGGGGATAAAGCTGTGATAAAAGCAGACAGAAGTTCCTGCTCTCCTGGGCCTCATGAACGGTGGTGCCAGTTACTGGGAAGCGGGACTGGTGGAGAGATGGTGCAGATTTCAGGAGGGGGCTCAGGAGTTGCGTTTGGACAGGCTGAGTTGAGTTGTGGTAGACAAGCTTCTGCTTTCAGTCTTTACTCTTCCTGTCATCCCACCTTCCCATATAATGGCTCCCTGCTCTTCTTCTTCACCCAATAGCCAGGACAATGCAGACTCCACTGACCACTCCTGTGCCTGTGCTCCGGCTCCCCCGGGGCCCTGATGGCTTGAGTCGAGGCTTTGCCCCTGATGGACGCAGGGCCCCCCTGAAGCCAAAGGTTCCTGAAACCCCAGAGTCTTCTGTAATTCACGAATGTCGGGAATCCCAGGAACAGCGGGCCCGAGCTGCCCTCCGGGAGTGCTATCTTCGAAGCTTGCTGGCCATGGTGGGTCGCCAGGTCAGCTTCACCTTGCATGAGGGTGTGCACGTGACCGCCCACTTCGGAGCCACCGACTTGGACGTGGCCAACTTCTATGTCTCGCAGCTGCAGACTCCGATAGGTGTGCAGGCTGAGGCACTGCTCCGGTGTAGTGACATTATTGCATACACCTTCAAGCTATAAAGACATTGTGGTCACCTTCTGCCTTAGGCCTAGCCACAGATTCCCAGGCCTCCAGCTGTTCCAGATCTCTGGGCCTCATAGAGTTTGGAACTCCCTTGGAATTTTGAGTCAAGCTCCAAGCAACTCTGGCTTCTTGGGACCTCCAGGGAGTAAAATTCTGCAATCCCAGGAGTTCTAGATCCCACTGAAAGGAATGCTCTACCTCACAGAACTCTCAACTCTATAGTAATGTGGGCCTCATTCCAGTTCCTGAAGACGGGTGTGTGTGTGTGTGTGTGTGTGTGTGTGTGTGTGTGTGTGTGTTGCATTGGGAATAAAGTAAGGCAAATTGCAAAGTGGGAAACAGTTTATTAAAAACGTTGCAAAGTTCAACCACCCTGAAGATACTCCCAAATACTGACCCCCTGCCAAAGAATCAACTATTATCCCAGGAAAATCTGCCTGTTTTTGTTGTTGTTTTTTAAGTGTACCCCACAGGGATGAAATCAGATTTAGGGGATGGAAGGGTAGCTGTCCAAAGACTGAATCCTGAGGAGCTGTGCCAAGAAGGGGAGGACACATCAAAAGGCTGGGGGCAACTCGGATTAAGGTGTGGGGATTGGACTGCCCCTAGTCTTTGGGAATGGCTGGAACCACCTGGGTGGCAGGCTTGGATGATTTGGACTAGATTTCTTTTTTGGGTGGGCAGGGATGTACATAGTTAAGGGCATGGATCGTGCTGGGTTACACGGTTGTGCGCTCCTGCCTGGGTGGTGCAGACCACACACCACCGAAGATTTGATTCCCGGCTCACACGGGCCAGGGTCATACCCTGTGCACCGCGCCATTGAGAAAAGCCTGAGAATTAGGGGTTAGGGTGAAGTGTCACCTCTTCATTTCGCTCCAGCTGTGTGGTATGGCCGTCCACATCACTCACTCCCTTCACTTGGCCCTGTCACTAATAGTCTTTCAGCAGATTCGCTCTAAAAAAAGTAATTTCTGCTCCCTTTGTAATCCCATCAACTTCAGAATGTAAGTGAAGATTCCTTTCAATATATTGTAGATGAGGTTTGCTTCGTTTGTATTCAGTCACGAAAGTGCTGTGGCCGATGCTGCTAAAGGCAAGTGTAAAGTCTCATCTCCCGCACGTCCATTAACAACGCCACTTCTGGCGAGTCCCTGGCCGAGCTCTCAAGTTGCCTCGGCAACGACATCGCTCCTCCCCAAGTCCCCGTTTTGGGTTTTAGCCCCACTTTTCTCCCCAAGTTGCTGGATGGGCTGGGAAAGCAAGGCGAAAGTGCGGAGGCGAATATTAAGTGATTCAATTGAGCGCGAGGGGGGGGGGCGTGGCTTGAGCTCATGCTGGTTCCCTTCTGGCTTGGTGATCTACCTGCTCCGTTGCCCCGTATTTTGGTTGGCAGATTCGTCCCTTACTTTTGGAATTCCTTTCTTTGCCCAGTTTTTTTTTTCTTTCTTTAAGTCAAGACTATGATACTCCTCATGGGCTCATTTATTTTAGTTTATAAGTTTAAATTGTATTTTATATACAACGCTATCCAAATACAGAGAATTATTGATGAAACTACAGTCTGCAAGTGGAAGACTAGAGTCTAACAAGCAAGGGGCCATAGCTTCGTCTCCAGGTAGACGAAGCATCTATCACCTGTACTCATATATTTAACACAACTCCTATCACCCTTCCTTTCAAGTTCTCCACCCCTTTACCTCTCTCCTTATCAGTTGACCTAGCCCCGCCAAGCAGATGTGTTTTATTTCTATCAACTCCACTCCCTTCTCCATGCCTGAGCGTGTGACGAATGTGTGCTAGCCTGAACTTCATTTATCTAGATGGAGGCGAGGAGGCGGGTTGGGGGCGACTCAGGTTCGCGCTTGCGCGCTGCTCTGGGAGACGGCGTCCATTTCGCCCCTCCCCTCATGCGCTGCAGTTCCGGCTCTGCAGATTCAGTGCTCACGTTTCTTTTTCTAGTGGCTCTTGGTATATTTTGTTCCCCACATCAGCAATCTGCGAGGTGACTCTACCTGCAAATAACTTAAGTCGATTTTCTGCTTTTCTTAGTACGCGGAGGGCTCACCGGCCCTTAACGAAAGTGCGGCTGCGAACGAGCAGGCGCACGCGGGGCTCGGGGGAGGCGCGCTCAGGCTCCCGGCGACGACTACGACGACCAGGAGAGCGGACGGAGGCGGCGCCTGAAGCAGCGGCGGAGCCCATGCCCCGGGACGGCGGGCGGGCCCGGAGAGACAAGTCCGGGGCCCGGGGCATGTCCCCGGGGCCCCCGTGAGGAGGCGGCGGCGGCGGCGATGGAGATCCCGCCGCAGGAGGCGCCGCCCGGGCCGGGCGCCGACGGAGACGCCGAGGAGGCCCTCGCTGAGGCCCGGTCTCCCAGCCCCACATCGCCCCCGGCCGATGGGCGCCTCAAGGCCGCGGCCAAGCGTGTCACGTTCCCTTCCGACGAGGATATCGTGTCCGGAGCGGTGGAGCCCAAAGACCCCTGGAGACACGGTAGCTACAGTTCGGGCGCGGGGGCGAACTTGTGGGGGTCTCGGGAGACGGTGCAGCGCTCAGCACGGAGGTGCAGCTCAATAAGTTTTACTTACTGATTACTTAAGGAGGCAGTCGTCAGTTTAGAGCTGGAGGGTGTTAGGAGGGGGTCGCTATTGGGTGGGGAAGGTGAAAAGTAGTTTATGTCCACCCCTCTCCCCGCCCCAAGGGATGCTGAATGTGATCATTTTAGGAATAAAAATATGAGCAATTAAAGTTTGGTGTCTTGGGAGATTGGAAAGGTGGTAGCGTTTGAGTTCATAGTTCCCCCAAACGATAGCATTAAGGAAGAAAGGGCCAACCAACATTGGCGCTGAAAGGGCAGTGGAGGAGTTTGCTGGGCCCATGGGGATGGAAAGAGGTTAAATTCCTGGTCTGCATGCCTCGGGACCATGGGTGGTCATTTTGCTCACTTTCTTGGCTGAAAGGAGGAAGAGGAATAAACCTGGACTGTGGTTATAGAGTAGTCAGTAAATCGGGGTTTGGGAAGAGGGCAAGGTAAACAAACTCCCAGAAAAGAAGCAGAGGTGGTAGTCAGTTTGGGGGTGGGTGAGATAGTTAGAGGAGGTGTTAGATCTTGGCATTAGTAAGAAGAAAAGTGATTGCATGCTTTTCCCTTCCCCCCAAAAGGGAGACAGAACATTGGTCATTCAGGAGCAGATGAAGGGTTTTTTTTTTTTTTTTTTTTGTCCCGCTGAGAAAGAGTTGGGGAATTGGAGTTGCTGGTCAGTAGAAGGTGAGAATATTTAAAAAGTTTGGTGGTTTGAGGTGTTGAGAGAGGAAACAAATCTATGAATTATAGGTCCCCTGGAGAAGGTCAGGCACTGTGGGAGCTGAAAGGGCAGCTAGAAGAGTGCCCTTAACCCATAGGGCTGGAAGGGTGGGAAGTCACTCCACAGATGTATGGCAGTGGTGAGCCTGTTTCTGTGCCGGGGAAGGCTGTCAGTCTCACTGGGGTGGAACCGGCAGGGACAGGGAGCAGACTGGCCTTGGCTCTATATAGAAGTTGGTCTGTTGGTCCTGGGGAAAGAGGAGGAACTGTTGCTAGTCTGGGCAGTGGAGGGATTGGTGGCTTTGATGTGAGAGTGAGAAACGTGGTAACTGGAAGCTGAACACACAGGGAGCCCGCCATAAATGCCAGCTTGGCTAGTTGTTGTTAAAGAGATGGGGGTTAATTTAAGAATCTTGGTATTGGGAGCCAGCCAAGTCCCTGGGCTCTAGGCCCCAGAGATAGGTGGTCACTTTGAAGTTAGAGGGTTTGGGGGACTGGGGCTGAGGAAGGAAGAGTCAAAATGGGACCTGGCTGTAGTGCGGTATCCAATCCAGGGAGTTCAGAGCAGGAAGAGGGAAAGACCTGGACGGGCCGAGCAGGGTGGTGAAGAGCAAAGGCCCCAGTTCAAATCCTGACTTCCATTTACCCACTTCATGACGTCAGCTGGTTGCCTACCTCCTCTGAGAGTCTCAGTTTTCCCATCTGTAAAGTAGATGATAATACCCATGCCACAGGGTGTAAGAGAGGACTGAATAATATTGTGTGTGAAAAGTGATTGGCCAGGGTGAGCCTACATGAAGTTGCAGTTATTGTTGGTCATTTTAGGAGTGATGTTAGGTGATATTGGTCATTTTAGAGGCCAGTCTAGAGGAGTTGGTTCACAGGGTTGGCGCTTGGATGTTTCTGCTTCACAAGCTTCCAGGAGAGGGTCAGTTAGTGAGCCTGGGGCAAGGGGGAGGGAAGGTGGTCAGTTTGTGGGCTGGAAAGTTGCGGTGGGCCAGCTGGAAAGTTTGGCACGGGTGGGGTGGGGTAAAGTTTCTGGTCTGCAGGTTCTCAGGAGACGAGCAGCTGTGTGTAACCAGCTGCCTGGCTTTGAGTAAGCCATTTTTCCTCCCTGAGCCTCCCGTTTCTTTCTCTGCAAATGGAGGTGCTAATTTCTACCATGAGGCAGTTGTGAGGATTAAATAAGATAGTGCTTGTAAGTTCCTGCCACATAAATAGCAGCTGCTGTTATCCAGACAAATTCAGTTTTGTTTTTCACGGGCAGCCTTGGAGAGGCAGTGAAGGAGTTTCAGGGGAGAGAAGAACATCAAGAAAGAGGGTCAGTGGGAGTCTGGCAGGGTGGAGTTGAGGGGACGGTGCTGATTGGTCTGCCCTGGGTAAGGGGTGGAGGTGGTGATCGCTTACAGGCTAGGGGAGTCACTCATTCCTGGAAGTTGAGAGGGACCGCAAGGACTGGTCAGCACTCACACTCCCGAGGAATCAGTGGGTCTCAGGTGGAGAGGTGATGATATGGAGAAATGGGTCAATTTGTAGGCTGGAAGAGTTGGTCTGTCTTGGCTGGGGAGAAAGGTTGAGGAATGGTCTGGCGGTGAAGGAGTTGGGTGATCTTGGGCCCCGGGGAAGGGGAGGGGTCTTTGGTGAAGTGGATGAGTTTGGACAATGGGATGTGCAGGACAGGACGTTGGAGGGCCTGTCAAAGCTGAGGAGCAGGTGCCTAGCCTCTGTGCCTAGGGAGGACAGTGGAGTTGTTGGCTGGCGTGGGACCGAGGGAGGTGGAGGCTTGCCAGGCTGTAGAAGAGAGGAAAGTTGGGCCAAGGGGCTACCTAGTTGAAAGGCCAAAGGGCCTTGGCTGGGGGCAGGGAGGAGTTGGTTGGTCTTGGAGGAGGGGCAGGAGATTTGCTGGAGTGGGTCTGTGAACCTTGGGAAAGCACAAGGGGATTCATTTGAGCTGTGGACCTAGTGGGAAGGGTGAAGGAGGAGCCATTCATTCTGGGGCCATTTGTGGTGACACAACTTCTGAGGCCAAGAGTGAGGGAGGAGTTGGCAGGTTTGAATTGGGAGAGAGGTCATTCAGGAGCTGTTCTTCCATCCTAGAGATGGAGAAGTTGCCTGGGCCAGGAGGTGCAGGAGCACCCCTGGGCTGGGAGACAGCAGCACTAAAGGAATCGGAGCCCCAGCACAGGGTGCCTGCTCAGCAGAGCCTTGCCCTGGGAGGAGAGCTCAGCTGGGACCCGCAGCGCCTCTGGCTGCGGTGGAGGAGGGTTGCGACTGGAACTAGAGTGCTGGCCCAGCCGGGTGGGAGCCCTGGGGGCGCTTCTTGAGAGCAAGAGCCCCATCAGGCCCTGCCAGAGGTCTCAGGTTGGAGGCTTCCTGGAGGTGAGATGCTATGGAGGAGGGAGATTGCGAGGGAGGGTCCCAGGCCTCCCGGTGCACAGAGGGGCCTTGCCTGGCTCTCCCATCTCATACAGTGTCCCCACCTGCCCCAACACCGGGGGCCTGCTTACTTTCCCCATTGCACGAATGGTCATCTAATGTTACGTTCCATGTTTTCGCACTGGTGGAAACCCGAATAGGAGAGCCGACGCTGTCCGCCCTTAAAGAACATGCAGTGATCATGGTTGGTGAGAGCTGGTGGGCATGTGTGCAGCCATTCTGGAAGGGTGAGGCCAGGCCAGCCCTGGAGGTAGGGTGCTGTGGCCTCCAGCAAGCAGCTCCTTCTTTCTGAGCTTGTTTCCTCATCTGTGAAATAGTGATCCCTGCCCTGCTGACCACCCAGATGTCTGAGGGGATGGGATGCAACTCCTCAGTTGCATGTAAATGGGAAGTGAAGCTTGGGGAGGAGGTGGGTGGAAATTGTGAGTGGTGGAGGATGCCTTAGTGCTGCCAGGTTGGGCACGTTTGCGCTGTGCTCTCCTGGGGTGGGGGGGTGGAAGTGGGCACCAGAAAAGGAGGGGCTTGCTGCCTCACCCCACCCCACCCCCTCGTGGCAGGCCTGTGGTCCCAGTTCTTTTGAGGGCCAAGGCCGACTTATACCAGGAACCCTTCCAGACCAAACTGCAAGAATGACCCAAAGCCCAGCTGTCTCCCCAGTCCCAGCTGCTCGCTGCTGTGTGGGGAGGAGACGTGGGGTTTGCAAGGCAGGCGTTGGAAAGCATGTGACAGGGCCACAGTCTGAGAGGCTTGTCTCCCCCTCCCTCCAGTCTGCCAGTGACTCATTCCCCATTCGCTGACCTCCAGGCCAGGAGAGTCCGTCCTAGAGTGGGGGAGGGGGAGTTTTGCCCACCAGGAAATTCCTGGTGTGAAGCGGAGATGTTTGCAAAGTGAAGGGGCCCAAACTTTCCAGCCACCTCTGGCCACCTGAGCTTGGGGAGGGTGGAGGGGGTTGATGGGGGCAGTGGCCATGGTGTTCTTAAATGGAAATCAAAGAGAGTGGAAATTACTTACGGTTTGTTCTCATTGAAACTAGTGCTGCAAATTTTAGTCTTTCAAACTGGTTGGACAGGTAAAAGTGCACCTGTCAGTGATACAGAGAGGCTCTCGGTTAAAAGTCGGCAGGTTTGAGCATAAGTGGTGGTGTTGCTGGAGAGTAGGCAATGGGGCCGCGGGGAGTGTGGGGGTGGGGTGGGGGTGGCTTTGATGCTTTTGCTCAGATTTCCATCTGGGCCCAACTTCACCCTCTACCCCAGCGAGGGCACAGGACTCTGCCGTGTGATGTTGGGCGATCTGCTGTGTGACTTAGAGCAGTTGTTCTCTCTGGCCACAATTTTTCTGTCCATGAAATGCAGCTGACAACAACAGTACCTCCTGATAGGCTGATGGTGAGGACTGAGTAAGACAACCGAGTCCATAGTGAGCGCTCAGCAGATGTCTCCCTTGCTTTTCCTGCCATCACCGGTCCTCTCCCCCCACCTGCAGCCCCCAGCCCGGAGGGTGCTTTGTGCCTGTTTTGTGTATTTGCACCCACACTTCCCCCCAGTGTCTGCCCCATAAGAATCCTGCTGTCTCCTCAGAGGCCTCCTCCTCTTAGGTGAGCACCCCAGCCATCCCTGGCTGGATGTGGGAGAGACCTCGGGCTCCAGGCCTGATCCTGTCCATTACAAGCTGGGTGGACTGTGAGCAAGTTGCCCAACCTCTTGAGCTGAAACTTCATGAGCATGGCTTGGCCCACCAGCCTGAGAGGCCTCAA